AACTTCAGCTGTGCAGGAGATTAGCGATACACTGGAAATCCCATAATTGTTACCTCACAAAAGACATTAATAATACAGTTATTCTCAAAATAACACACCTTTTTGGGGTACAATGCAGCAAATTCAACAACAGTGCTCATAATAAATAAAATAAAATGTCAGGAGCTCCGTGCACGTGGACTGATGAGCTGCTGGACGAGTTTGTGTTTAGTCAGAAAGGGTTAGCAGAAAACAACAAGCAGGGATTTAGCTCTCAAAGAAAATGCTCACGTTTAAAAATGCCATGTCTACAATAATGATATTTTAACTCTAAATTCAAGGACATTAGTGATGTTTTCTGCCTTTGAATCGATCTGAAGCTCTGTGATTGCTAACGGAAGTCCCTGTAAAACAGATAAAAAGCAAAAACACTGTGTAATACTTTATCTGAATGTGTAATATTCATGTTTTCAACTTCAGCTGTGCAGGAGATTAGCGATACACTGGAAATCCCATAATGGTTACATCACAAAATACATTAATAATACACTTATTCTCAAAATAACACATCTTTTTGGGGTACAATGCAGCATATTCAACAACAGTGCTCATAATAAAGTGTGCATTAGAACAGTGTTTTTCAACCACTAGTGTGCCGTAGAAAATCATCCTATTTCACCTAATTGGTCTAAAAAGATTTTTTGATGAGGAATTAATTATCTGCAAATAATATTCCATTTTTTAGTGTGTGTGCTGTTCTAGTGACTGGTGGCATAATCATGTAATAATTCCTTATGACTAGATTTTGTATATAATTTTGCATATTGAAGTGGACATGTTAAGAGCAATTTGAAAGAAAAAATATCAAATATGATGAAAATACATTTTTGTGTTTATTTGATTCCTATTCAAAACACTTAAGATAAGATAAGAATAAAATAAGAATAACTATAGTGTTACTGTAGGCGGATACAGATTTGTTTAACATTTTTGGTTGGTGGTGTGCCTCGTGATTTTTTCAATGAAAAAATGTACCTTGGCTCAAAAAACGTTGAAAAACACTGCATTAGACTGTCTGTAAAGCTTACACAGCACAATGCAAACAACAGCAGCTTCCAATAGGTTTCTACCTCTCATTTTTCTCCTATTTTCCTTTCCCAGGAGCCCTGCAGGATCTGGACAGAGCTATCAACCTGAGCGGAAACTCGGGGAGAACCTGCTGCCAGGCCCTGGTGCAGAGAGGCCTCTTACGGAGGTTATTAAACCAAAATGAAGCAGCCAGGGAGGATTTTGAGCGCGCGGCAGCTCTTGGGAGTGAATTTGCCCGACAACAGGCCGTGGTTTTAAACCCGTACGCGGCTCTGTGCAACAGGATGCTGTCAGACGTCATCAACAAACTCCGAAACCCCGAAGTGTCCGAGTTTTCTGCTTATTCACCGAGTCAATAAGAAAATACGCTTTGTTTTGATGCACTAATTTACTCCTGTAAAATCATAAAATCAACCTTTCCAACAACAACTAACATTTACAGTGGGGGAAATAAGTGTTTGACCCCTTGCTGATTTTTCAGGTTTGCCCACTTACAAAGAATGCTTATTTTTCCTCATCAGATGGTTATCAATTTTTATAAATTCATATGATGTGATTTTCTGGAATTTTATTTGGGATTCTGTCTTTCCCTGTTAGAATGTACATATGATTAAAGTTATAGATCGTTGCATTTTTTGTAAATGGGCAAACCTGCAAAATCAGCAAGGGCTCAAATACTTATTTCCCACACTGTATATATCACTGTACACAATTTAAAGTCAACAAGCTCTCTTTTTGTTAGCGTAAATTAAAACCTGGATTCCTGTATAACTGTCCAATCAAATGTTACTCACTGGACATTTGATTAATTAAAAAAAAAAAAACGGAAGTCCTTCAGTGTGCTGTGACGTCATCCACTGATGCACTTACACCTCTTGTCCACTAGATGTCAGTCTTGTCTTTCTGGTTTCAGACAGCAGAGTTTCTCCTCTTTAAATGACACACTAGCAAATTTAGCTAATTATCAATTGAATTTTCCAGATGATGATGGGATGTCTGAAAAGAAAAACTTGCAAATTACATAATTTAGCTAATTATCAATTGAATATTCCAGATGATGATTGGATGTCTGAAAAGAAAAACTAAATAAAGATTCATTTTCTTGCTAAAAATTAACAAAAAGGACATTTTTTTCCATTCTTTTACCCACAGTGCTCATAGGAAAATATGGAAATATGATCTGGAGTAACATTTCCATTAAAAAAGCTCTACAGGGGATCCTGACCACACTGTAAATGTCAGATACGGCTGATATCTGTCGGCCCGCTTTCCTCCGGGACGTTTTACAGGTTTATTTATTTATTTAATCAGGACAGTGCACATTAATGAACAATCTCATACGGATTGTAAATGAGCCAGATTATAGCATAGTTGCTAGTTTACATCTGTCGTCCTGAGGCAGGAAGACCAAACAACACAAAATCACAAAATACAAAATCAGTCCAAACACACGTTCAGACAATGACATTACAAAATTAAAATTAATTCAATTAAATTCAATTTTATTTATATAGCGCCACATCACAACAACAGTTGTCTCACAGCTTTCCAAACAGAGCAGGTCAGACCCTACTCTGAAGTTAATTACAGAAACCCAACAATTCCCACCATGAGCAAGCACTAGGCGACACAGGCAAGGAAAAACTTCCTTTAACTCATTGACTGCCAGCCATTGTCAGAACAGAGAGTCGCTCACTGCCAGAGTTTTTTGAGAATTTTGACTGATTTTTCAAGAGCCACAGAATAGTTTGTGCTATGACTATGTAAACACCGAACACACCAAAAGAAAGAGTAGACTCTCTTCTTTCATCAGGAAAAAAGATTTTGTTTCTACCTTATTCCGTTCTTCTTCGACGTGCGTCTCACCGGCGCCATTTCTCTCATAGCGAACCATTGCGTTTGTTTTTATTTGCCTACAGTCTATGCTCATCTCCCATCAAAAGTGGCACTGCCCCCTAGAGGGTCAATTTGTTACTACATACTCTGTCTAGAAGCCGATATTTACGGACAAGCTTTAGCAGATCGTCCCCCAGACACTCTCGTTAAAAACATAAAAGACCTCTATAGACGTCTTTGGCAGCTAATGAGTTAACAGGCAGAGACCTCGAGCAGAACCATGGCGTGATTATCTTTTGAGGTTGGACTCTGCAAATCTGTCTCTGACCTCCTGCAGACAGGCCAAAGCCACCGGTCGGCTGTGTTCCTCTTTCTGGTAGAAGGAGCAGGTTTTTAGGTGGTTTGACATGGAGGAAATGTCCCCGATTCTCCATCTTTCCATGGGAGAAAACAGGGAACTGAAACTCCACACCTGGAGAAAAGGAGAGAAAACAGAGATGTTCAGTAACAAAGTAGAACTACTTAAGTACCAAAATGCAGTATCTGTACTTTATTGGAGTATATATTTTTTGCCCTACTTTTACTTTTACTCCACTACATATTTTTGATTAATTCAATACTTTTACTTTCACGGGCTGAATCGTTACTGGTTACTGATATGTAAACGTAATGATAGATAGCTCTGTCAGGGTTTGGGAGATAGCCTATTATTTAGAAAAAAGCCTCCTGAAAGATTGAAATCACGGCCTTCAAGAATTCCCCATCTAATCTGAAGAATCATATCAAGGTAAATTAAAAAATACAATGACATATAAGCTAGTAAATAAGCGCTAGTTCAGTTCTCCCTGTTCACTCCAAGCTAAAGCTAACCTTGCTGGCTAGCTGTATGCTACATGCTAGCATAAAGGCTCAGCTCAGGATTCTGACTCTGGAATAATAAATAATAGTAGAAGAAGAGCTGTTGATGCTAATGCAGATGTAGTTTTCTGTTTTTTGTAAACACCTGGATGGCCTTTCACACGTTTTAAATAATATAAACAACATCTATCATACTTTTGACTGCCTTTTTTAAATATACACAGTACTTGTACATTTACTTATACTTGTACTTTTGATACTTGAGTAGCAATTTTTGAAATACTTTTACTCGCAATACTTGAGTACAAAAAAATGAGTACCTCAGTACTTCCACTTAAGTCTGGTGTTGAAAGAATACTTCTACTTTT